CAAACATGCTCATGACACATGATCCACAGTGTACAAGCGACCCAATCCGACCGATTATTATTTCTATTGATCCACTGTGAATCGTAGGGCGTTAATAAAGCGGTTGAACATGTTTCTGTCTCTAGCTATAACAGCTACTTCTACTAGTTTGACAACGAAAAGGGCAGCCTTTCGACAGATAGATGAATATTGACACTATGAAAAACTAACGCTTGATCTTCCTAATTTAAAATCAAACTTAATGCTGTAATTTTTTTAACTCTCTTCCAGCCCCCCCCCCCCCCCTTCCCACCCTCTTTTTCTATATAAAAACCTTTCCCGAATAGAACAAGTCAGTTAATAGAATAGAAATCCGGCATCAAACCGATGTGATTCTGCCAAAGCTACAACATCTTGGTGCAGGATTTCTATTCAATTAACCGACTTGTGCTTTTCGCATATCCTTTTGCACTAAACTTGTCACTCTGTTAAATTAAATATCAAACTGAGCAGCCCTGCACAGTTAAATTGCAGCCATAAAACAAGCACACAGACAAAGTTTTTCAATTTAAAACTGCATAATTTTTTTTTTATTAATTTTCCCTGCTGCTCGACTGCCGTTTTTATGTCCAAGAGAAAATGTGATGCAATCAAATAGTCGAGGGAAATAATTATCGAAATTCTTCAATTAAATCTCTAGAAAAATTCTCAATTCTTGCTTTATTTAAATATTATTGCACTCATTTTTTGTGTGCCAAATGGAAATTAATTGAGTTTCACATGAATAAATAATGACACGTAATTAAATGCCTTTAATAATAATATGTACCATAAAACTTTTCCAAAACGAAACATCTCTATGGACATATAAAAATCTCAATTTAGTTTGTACATGAAAATTTATTTGAAAATCCTTATAGATTTTACATAATGCTAATGGTTGAGAAGGTATAAAAGATTGGGGATAAGGAAAATGGTCTATTTATTATTTATTGCCAACATGGGACGACAAAGTCGAGAGAGAAAAAATTTTTTTTTTTTAAATCCTTCTGTGCGTATTTTTTGTATATGTGTGACTTGAGGCAACTCTCAATAATTTTTTGCCTGCCAAAAAAGAGATTTTCATATCTACACAGACTGGTTATTTTAAATATCCCAAAGCGTAGGACATAGGAATTTTCTCCTTCGTCATCATTTAGGAATGAATTAAAAAGTCATAAAAATAAATTTTCATGTACAAGAACGCACAAAACGATTCATAGATAGACATAGACATGTTCAGTAAAGTTATTCGAATGTGAAAACATAAGTTGTTGGGATGTTCATAGAACAACAGAGAGTGCAAAAAATATGATTTTTTTTGGTGATCACACGCAGGGGTGAAGTGAAGTGATGAATGTTTCTAGTGGGGAGGGGGGGGGGGGGTGCTTTTAATATTTATTCTCAAAATTCTTTACTAAATTGACGAAATTCTCTCATCAAAGAGTGAAAAATCACCTCCTGACTACACCCCTGACCACAGGCTTTTAGGATTCGAAATAATTGTCGTCTAGTAGTTTTGCGGTAGATACATTGAAATTAAACTTTATAGACAAAAGAGAGACTATGTTGTTTAGTGGACGACATCTACAATATACAGACGTTCATGTTTTTAATATTAACAAGTATGATGGTGAAAAAAATTTGTGTTGGAAGTATTGTGGACATGAAATTTGGGTGTTTTGGAGGCGCTTTTTTGTTCCACAAGTAATTGAGTATTTTTTTTTTGGCAATTAGTAAAGCTCATGAATTGCAAGCGCTTAGATTGTTCACCTGAAGTGTCATTAGGATGGTGATTTTGTAGTTTGAGCTATTCAGCAGTTATCAAACCACAAGAGCGAGGCCGGAAATATGAAGAGTATGTGACAATTTTTATATGGAAATTAGGAAGGGGGGGATGGATTTTTAATTATGTGTTTGACTTTAAATTAAGTACAAGAACTTTAGTTCTCGTTTAAAGCATTAGTCACTTGAACTGCGATTAGAGCTGATGCTATAAAACTCCAAAAAAGGACGTTAGGCACTGCAATTCAATTTGTAAAGAATCTATTGTACCATACCCTTTAGAAGAAAAGGATGTTACGCAAATACAAACTATAAGTATCTTTATTTTACGAAAACTCATGCTACACCAACTCTATCCACATCAAGTTCTTCATATTAACCATAACTTCCAAGAGAAATTGGCTAAAAATAAGAAGCAAAAGATTTTCCTCCGAATCGAGGATGAATAGCTATTTTTAAATGAATGCTACACAGTTGCAGAATTTAAACCTGGATATTTTTCACATTACATACACACATGCATGCACACCATAATAACAAAACCATAGTGCTCTGGCTAAAACTGTCTCACTCTTTGCGGTACAGCAAGCACAGAAATGGATTGCAAAGTTTTATGGTGAATGAGCAGGATAGTCTATGGGTGGATATAAAATATATATTTATTTCTACATGCAATGAGGACAGGTAGCTGCTCCGTATGAACAGATTTATCTTCTCAGTCGCAATATTGTATGTCGTGTGCCTTACCGATTCAATGAAATCGATATCGTTGAGTAAATTCGCAGATTATTTATCATGTGACTGTATATCGTTCAGTACTTCATAAAGATAATGCAATTAATCAATTTAAATAAATTTATGGATTTATATTTTAAATGGTTCTTTTGAAAACAAAACATTTTTCATGGATGAAGGTTTTAAAGGGAAATCCAGAGTTGGTGGAAGGTTGATACCTAGCTTAAGAGTTATTAGGTGCTCTATGGGATGGTCAGAAGTCCTTTTAAGGCTGGACTCACTCCCACACTGCCAAAGACGGCCTAAAAATTCACTACCTTCGGTAATGTTAATTGAAAATTTCTAGCTACACTTATGGAGCACAGCAAAGCTGCAAGCTACATCAACCTTCATACCAACTCTGAATGAGACACACAAATGCAAACAAAGTCAGTCATGGAACCAGAATACGTTTTTATGAGTCAATTATTTATCTTACAATTTTTTTATATATTTTTTATTTATCTTCGACTGTAGATCAAGTTTTTGTCTGTAAAATGGATAATTTATTGCTAAAATTTATCCTCATGGAAAAACATTCTTTTGTGGCTTACATGAAAATATAAAATGCAAGCATCATGTATGGCTAAATGCAATCCAATTAAGAGCAATTTTCTTCATGATTCACAAAACTTTTTTTCAAAACTCTCTTGCCTCAAAAAGACCATTGATGGATTCTAAAAAAGAGATGAACAGCATGTCAATGATTTTTGAATGGAAACTTTTATGTATGGTGAAAGGTTTACTGCTTGTTCATTGGTAATTATTGAAAAGGTTTTTTTGTGTAAGTGAAAAGTTTGAATGTCAAAAGTTTGTTGGGTAAGTGATCGTGTGGGAATAGCTTAGTCATGAATTTTGATGGGATGTAAGAAGAGGAGATACAATGTTGACAAATTCTCGGTATGAATTGAAATGAATGCAAATATAAGGAAGAAGTGATGTGTAAATAGTTGTTTGAATGTTTTTGGGTGTGTGATGAATTTGTTCAAGAAGTGTAAGTTAAGGAGACGGAGCCAGAGAGTGAATTTTTTTGAGACTCTCTAAACCTCCTCCTGAGGTCTTCTTATCTAGAAATGAATAGAATCTTATATAGATTGCCAATAATCCAGTGTGTCACTCACTCTTCTTGAAATTCTGGCTTATTCGCTGTCTTCATGTCACAAAAACTATTGCTATGCTTTTGAATACAAAATAAGGTTCTAGGACCACCTAGGGGATCCATCCTTAGTCTCAGACCATTTTTATTTATCTATTATCCACATCGTATAGTTGGGGACCTCAAAAAGCTTTTGAAACCGGCTTGGGGATCAAATAAAGCCGTTTTAGAGTTCAAAACAAGTCACCAAATCTTTAATGTGTGACAAACTTAGTCAAATAAAGTGTTTGTCATGTTCTTCAAACTAACCCGAATGGCACAAGTCGGATCATTGATTTGAAATCTGGAACTAAGCTGGTGTGACTCTGGCTTGGTTTGACTCTTGATATCGAAGCCAGTCCCATGCCAGAGTCAATTCAGTTTGACGCCAGATTTCAATTCGATTAACCGACTTTTGCTATTGGGCCAAACTCGTGCTTTAAATTAATTTTTTAAAAAAGAAGAAGCTTCAAAGCCTTCGGCAAAACCTTCAAATGTAAGCAAAAAGTTCAAAAAAATATGTTTTCAGTTTTTAACATCATTGTTTTAAATCTCAACAAAAAAAGTATTCCAAGAAGAAAAACTTCATTTAATAAGCTCTAAAAACTCTGCCAAAAAGCCTTGTTAATTGAATGCTCATCAAAATTGATTTTCATTAATTAGATGAATTCCAAAAAATTATTAAAATTCTCTGTTTTTCTATTTATACAAACTGATTGGCTTGTTGAACATTTTCTAAGAAAATCCAGTTTGGAAATTGTTCAAAAATAATCATTTTCACCCTCAAAGCTTTTTTGTGTTAATTAAAAACCAACATTTTCATTTCCTCGAATTATTAATAATGTCAGAATCTCCCCTAAATAATTCCGTATAAAAGTTACAAGATTGTAATAATTAAATTTCATAAAACAAGATAATTTCTTTCTCCCCTTCAAAACTTCTTGTATTTACGTGACATGTCCGTAACTATCTATGTATTTATCGTCTCGAAATATCTGCAATGCACTCATTCAAAGTTCTTCCACAATTTCACTCTGAATAATTACAATCTCGATTTTTTTCCAGCTCTACAAAAAAAGAAAAGTTTTTGTGCTGCACATTTTTACTCACAAATTAAACTTAATTTACTCGATGGACCAACTACTCGAAAAATTCGAAAAAAAAACTTATTTTTTTATAGACAAAGTTTTTTCTCCTCTCACCAAGTTTCTTGTAATTTTCTCTGTCTATACTTTTGTATTTTGCGTAAAGTTTAATGCTTGAATTTTCTTTTTATTTCTCTTTGCAGTTCCCCATCCACCAGGCGTGCGAAAGTATGTAATTTGGTGTCTAATATGCGGCGGAATGCTATGCTTAATAGGAGTCATGTTCCTTGCTGTGTACTTCCTCCTACGATCGTACACAAGCACCGTTGGATATTTTGAGACCGTTCCACCATTTGTACCAGCCACTTTGGTAAGTCCTTAAATTTTTTTTTAAATTTGTTTATTTCAATTGGCAAATGTTTTTTGGTGCTGCCAAAAAACAGGCAGAATAATTTTATTTTTGGGAGGCAAGTATTAAATTTACAATTTTGCTTGTACTTAAAAATGGAAAATAAAGTTTTTTTTTGTTTTCCAACCCATTACTTACTTGAATGGAAAGCATATTGTTGTCTTTAAAATTGCGAGATTTTCAACATCTTTTGTATTTAAGAAATATAATATTTTTCAGGGTTGATGGGCAGGAGGTTGAGTTTAGTAATAACATTAAGGAATAATATTGTGAAGTTTCTATTGCTTATTGTCAGTAAACCTGGATGATTTTGTTATTTTTTGGTTGACTGGTTGTATTATCGGGGCACCACAGTGTTAATTCAGATCGAATATTTATAGGACTAGGCTGTCGTAGAGTTAATGATTTAAGAAGGCCGTTGACTTACTAGGATCACTGTTGTAAACACTTAATGCCAATAAAGGTTCGACTCTCAACAAAGGCAGATTTTTTAAAACCATAAACGGCAAGATACTCCCTCCCTGATCAAATCTTATACTTCCCATCCAAAACCAAATCAAAACTGCATTTAATTCATTTCTCAACACAAAAAACCCTCTTATAAAGTCAAAAGCTAATTTTACTCGACTTCAAAGAAGAAAATCTCAATTTCAAGATAACAACCCTGTGAAAGAACAGATAAAACACGAACATTTCTCATTGTCGTTAGATTATTGCATGCTACTTAGGGGAATAAATGTTATTAAAACAACGACAATAGATGAAATCACAAAAGAATGTCTCATCCCACCTTCTTACACCCATAACAAGACATTCTCGTATTTTTTTTCTTACCTTGAGGATGAAATAAACAGTGGAAAATTTCATATTGTGATCTCAATTAAATTAGGAAAAAGAAAAGAAAAGATGAAAAGTTGTCGTCTTTTTTTTTCTCTCTTTTATTTGCGGAGACAATGGCAGCTTTTGACTTTGTTGCCTTCATGTGCATCGTTGCGTTTAAAATGAAGAGAAAATTATTTTCTTTGTTGCTTGCTAGATTTGCTGACGAAGGAGGAGTAAATGGCAAAGAATGGAAGAAGTGACAAAAAGGGAAAAATAAAATTTAAAAAGGGACAAAGAAAATATTTTTCTTACAAATTTTCATTTCCATTTTCAAGACGAGAAAGAAAAATACACACAAGAAAATCTAAGGAAGATAATTCTATTATTATACATCAATTGTTATATCCTTGGATTCGTTCGTAATCCCTTACACCATCTCCGAGGAACACAATCGGGTAGATCTTGGTTTTTGGTTCTTGGGGTTTAGTTTTTTGGACGTGTCATAGGCTAGGGATATATTCTAGATTAGAAGCTGATCAGAGACCTATTTCTAAAGCTACCTGCAGGAACCTAGTCACTATCAATTTTATTTTGTACCCAAAAGTGAACTATATTAACTTTAAATCCTAAGATAGGCTACTTCTCGGCTCAATAGATCATAACTCTATAACTTCGTTGGTAATCTAGTCATACTAGAGAGTAAAGTCGAGTAACTAGGTTCATCTGAGAAACTAGCTCCTAATTTTCTTCAAAACACCTGATTTGAGCTCTATTACGCTACGTCCTTATAAACCAGTTCCTCTCTTACATTCCTCGGGCTCAATCTTCGCCTTTTTCTCACACATATTTCATTCTACGATGAGATTTAAATGTGGATTCACTTTGATTCCCCCAAATGATTCTCCCTTTTATTATATAAGCACCGATAAAATATATTGATAGATAGTTGAAACCTCAATTCTCTAATGATCGTAAAAAATAACTGTTGATTAATCCACCCCTTGCCAATTCCACACTTGTAAGCACAGCAAAAAGAAGGAAATGGAAAGGAAAATTGCAAAGGGAAATGTTTATAAATTGCCCAGTAACTGTGTGGCCTCCCTTACTACTCAGGAAACTAATAATGTAACAATAGTGTGCATCTTGTTGTTTCTACAGAGACACAACAATAGATATAAACTTCAATAATATCTACTTATAGTTGAGAGTCACTAAGATGTGACATTTGTTGGAGAAATATTTCTCTCGAGGACTTTATTATTGCAAAATGTAGTGTGCAGTTTTATGTCCGATAGTTGTGGATGTGTGACTGCTGACATTGTGGATTAATTGATTGATTCTCGGTCAGAATGATGAAGTTAATTGGAAAATAATTGACAAAATGTTTGTTTCTGTTAACAAGAAAAATTGACAGGTGGAATTGATGATTTATTAATATTGTGGGAAATTATATAATGGTGTAGGTAGGACTGGGGGTGTAGCTACGGAAGGAATGATGGGAACGTTCGAAAATTCTGGTTACTGCATTGAAACTTGAAGTAAATTGTATACCATGCTAGGTTTATTACTGTCCAATTCCCATGCCATGCTGAATCATACCAATACCAGAATAATTGACTCAGACGACATTTAATGGCTCCGAAATTCATATAAATCTTGTTAACAACATCAAACGCTCTAAACAATCTTCAAGTGCAAGACAATTCAAATCAAAGACTAATTCAAAGAGTAGAAAGGTAACAAGTCTGAATTTTCCTGCACACCAGGCAACCCTTTCCCCTAAATCTTGCAATATTGACGAATTATTCCATCAATTTGATCAAAACATTTCAAAAACTCTCATAGCCATCGATCCATAAGAATCACAAACAAGAAAACACATTCAAATTCCGATCAATCGAGTTGAAAAAGCGCTCTAAGCATCTATGTAAATACAATATTCCCGATAAATTTTCACATGATTTTTCCTTTACATTACAGCATCAAACGTCTCTCTCTTTTAAAAAGAAAATGTGAGAAGGAAATAGAACCTAAAGAGGAAAAATTTTCCTTCCTCCCCACCTTATATTTTTGCACATTTATTTCGTAATGTCGACAAAAGGATGTTTTTGAGATAAAAGTAAGAGATTGTAAAGAAGAAAATTGTGTATAGGAAGTAGAAAATGCGAAAGACACTCTGTTACTAACATCCTGTCAGAGAGATTCTTCCCTTTTGATAAAATAACAAATCTATCTTTAATAAGCTTTTTTTTTGTAGCTACATATTTTTTTCGGTGGAAAAGGAGCTTCCATTTATTACCGGCACCTTCTTTTGTGTGCTTGCTGAAAAGGAAATTCTTTCTGTTTTTAGAAAAATTTTTTACTTCTTTTTACTATAATTTCACTTTGATGAGCATCAAGTACAGAAGAAAAAAGAAATAAGCATGAGAAGAGAAAGCTCTTCAAAATTGAAGTATATATTGTAAAAATTCCAGTAAGTATTGAAGATCCCCAACCCGAATGACACGAGTCGGTTAATCGATCAAAAATCCAGTGTGACTTTGGCATGGTGCTGGATTTAAATCGAAGCATCATAGCTGGGCGCCGGATTTTTATTCGATTAACCGACTTGTGACATTCGGGCAAAGTTGCGAAACTGATAAATTACATTTTGATCAATTTTGATCAGTTCCGCACCCTTGAAGAGCCCCCTTCCTACTTGGCAAGTTAAAAAATCTTCAAGCTTCAAGCCCTGCCAAAAAAAGCTTACAAAAATCTATTGAAAAAACATTTGGAACTTTTTCCATTAATTCATAAAGGTTGAGGAATTAAAATTATGAATTTTAAGCATCTCTTTTTGGGTTCAGTTCCTATTTTTGCTTTTAAAATAATATAAAGAGACAGTTTTTTTGGGTATGATGTGTTTACACAAGGATTGGAAATTAATGGTCGAGTTGATGTTCAATAAAATTATTGATGATGTAAAATGTTGACAGTGATTGTTCAAAAGACAGTCGAGTATTTCCAGGATCAAAGGTTGGTCCATGAATAAATTATGCTGAAGCCTTTCAAGGTATTTACAAAGTCGTGACATTTGCAGATACATACATATTCAATTCCTTTTGATTAAAATTGAATTATTTGCAATAACGGCAAATAAAGATCAAATGGCATGAAGCTATATGCATTACCTAAATGAGAACTGTTTATTACATGCTTTTTATTGAGTTGCTCTGTCTGTTGGTTTCTTTGTCACGTTCAAAACTTGCAATCGATTTTTCGACCACTTCTGCTGCTCCAATCAAGCTCAAATTTTTTATTCACACGTATTCCCGGTGACAATACAATATTTTAACTTTTTGAAACCACAAAAATGCTTAATTATAGTAAAATTTAAGTAAAACTTTTTTATATGGGAAAACAATCCAATGTCAATGATATAAAATTTTGATTTGTTTAAAATATTATATTTGAAATGCTCAAAAGTCATTTATGTGATTCATTATAGTTTAATTAATATTACTAAATATTAATTACACTATAAATTTGAGCAGCTAAAGATATTCCGGTAAGACAAAAAAATTGACTTGTAATTTTTTCATAAATATTCGTAAGTGAAAATTTGAATTTTCAAAAAAACCGTTAAGCACAAGTCCGTTACGAATTAATGCAAAATAACTATTAATATGAGATATGCATTTAGCACACATAGTTTGAGCATATATTTATGCTGTTTTTAATGTATTACATTATTTATAAAACTTCACCAACTTAATTAAATTTACTTTTCTATTTATTAACGGCTTGAAGTATATTTGTATATAAACACAAAATCTCCAAGATTCATTTTTAATGTCCTTTACTAATGAATGTTTTAAAAGCACAGAAAGCGCACATAATTGAAGTTCAGGATATTTTTTAAGAAGTTTCATCTGTTTCCAGGTATGACTTTATTCTATAAAACAAATGAATGAAAAAATGTAATCTATAAACAGTTGAACGAAACGGAGTAAAACGAAGTGGAGTTGAATTTGAATTGCTGTGGTCGATATTCGATTGAAAGATTGAGACTAAAAAGTAGCAAATAAAAAAAATGTTAAAAAAACTTTTTAAAAAACACGCTTTTTCCCAAAGACTTAAAAAACAAATAACATTTTTTC